ACAATATAATATACAGAATATTTGAATAGAACACAATATATATAGTTTCAAATATATATAATTTTTTTATAACTATATATTTAAATATATATTTATTTAAATACAAATATATAATGTCATAGATTATTACATTATTATAAATATTATCTATTAAATTATTACATATTATTTTAATGTTATAAATGACTAACATATATAAAATACATGTATTATGCATGCATGAAGAAAATTGATTTTTCAAGTACTAAAATAGTTCAATCTTGTTAAGTGTTCTTTTTTAGGTCAAGTTTTTTTAGTTGTAGTAATTTTTGTTTAGTTTTAGTTGTCGCTCACCTCTTCTGGGTAACTGGTTGCTGTTTGGCTGACTGGGTGGACTCTCACTTTGAGACACATCTCCATTGTGATTTAATTTATTCCCTTGATGAAGCTCCACATTCACTTTTGTTTCCACCCGCAGTTTCTCTGGACCGCCCGGATCCTCACTTTCACTGGCTGTGGGTGGCTCCTCCGGCCAGTATGGCTTCCCTTGACCGGACATGGCATCAACTTCAGAACAACATGATTAAAGTTATCAAACATCCAAGTTTAAATATGAATAAAATGAATAAAACACGTAAAAGAGCAGGTCAGAGGTCATAGAAGAGGCTGCAGGCACCTTTAGGTGTGCTGTGGATGGGCGTTCTCTCGTTATTCCATTTGGTCCTGGAGTGCCTGGCCTCATCCTCACTGTCTGAGGAGTGGGAGGAAGCGTAGGAGCCGCTGTGTTCATCCACTGAGAGCTCACTGTCCGAATCTGAATCTGAATAATAACAGAAAATGATTATTCAGAAGTTATGACACCAGCTGAGCCTTCAATGGTCCGTGTTATTTCTGCCCTCACCTTCTGCCGTTTTACTCTTGTGGAAAAAGAGCAACGAGTCTCCTTCATCATGCGGCACATTTCCACCATTAGACGATATGCTGCGTTTCTTCTCCCTGAGTGAAAAAACCCCCCATCAAATCTATGCATTATTACTGAAATACTGTGAATTTGTATCTATCATTACATTAAGTGGAGTCACACTAAAGTTATTCAGTGACAGTAAGTTGCTAGTGAAATGTTCACAAATGCAGCTGCCAATATGGCAATATTACAAATATGACAACCAGGATTTCTTCTTTCGTTAGTTAATAACATTTTCTTTTTAAATGCCATATTCTTTATTGCTACACTTTGTAGTTAGAAGTGTGTCAAACACATGAATCAATACACATTGGATCTAATATGTGATCCATGTAACATGGTTATGGTAATAAATACTGTATGAGTCATAAATATGGCTAAAGTGGCCCCATTGATAGTCATAATGAACTTAGTCTCATCTAAAGACATGACCTAAAAACC